GGAATGAACATTTGTCCCCATAAACTTGAATGGAAAACGCCTGAACAGCAGGAATGAACGTTTTGTCCCCATAGACTTGAATGGAAAACGCCTGAACAGCGGGAATGAACATTCTGTCCCCATAGACTTGAATGGAAAACGCCTGAACAGCGGGAATGAGCGTTTTGTCCCCATAGACGTGAATGAAAAGCACCTGAACAGCGGGAATGAGCGTTTTGTCCCCATAGACTTGAATGGAAAACGCCTGAACAGCGGGAATGAACGTTTTGTCCCCATAGACGTGAATGAAAAGCACCTGAACAGCGGGAATGAGCGTTTTGTCCCCATAGACTTGAATGGAAAACGCCTGAACAGCGGGAATGAACATTCTGTCCCCATAGACTTGAATGGAAAACGCCTGAACAGCGGGAATGAACATTCTGTCCCCATAGACTTGAATGGAAAACGCCTGAACAGCGGGAATGAACGTTTTGTCCCCATAGACTTGAATGGAAAACGCCTGAACAGCGAGAATGAACGTTTCGTCCCCATAGACTTGAATGGAAAACGCCTGAACAGCGGGAATGAACGTTTCGTCCCCATAGACTTGAATGGAAAACGCCTGAACAGCGGGAATGAACGTTTCGTCCCCATAGACTTGAATGGAAAACGCCTGAACAGCGGGAATGAACGTTTCGTCCCCATAGACTTGAATGGAAAACGCCTGAACAGCGGGAATGAACGTTTTTGCTGGCATTTTCATCTCGAACAGCAGCTACTTCTATTTCTATTGGCCACAGCAAAAACGCAGAAATGAAACACGCCTTAGTTGGGCTCGCCACTAAAAGATGTCCGTATGCGGCGCTCATAGAGATGCTCATATATAGAATATAGAGGCGGGGGGGGGGGCCACATACTGGGACTCCAATAAAACAGAACAATACAATTACACCCAGGGCCGGTTCACACTCCATGTGTTTCAGGGTTTTTTCTGCATCCAAAACGCACAGCAAGTGGGTTATATGGTTGTCGGTGTCATCGTTCACATCTGTGTTTGCAGTTCCGGTGCGTTCCGGGTGCAGAAAGGAAAGTGCAACATGTTTTGTTTTTCCAGCACAGAACTGCACTGGAACGCACCAACAACGCACCGGAACGCACCGGAACGCACATGTCCCTATTTATATTGAAGAAAAAGAGAAAGGGGGAAAAAATGAAGCAGAAGCATCAAAAATGCACTGAAATGTGTCAAAAACGCACCAAAAATGCGCATCTGGACCGCATCTGGACTGCGTTTCTATGGTGTGAACCGGCCCTCACATGAGTCAGTTAAATTCCATAAAACGCCGGATGAGAAGTAACGCACCGACGTGCGCGCTACCTGTGACGCCACATGTGACGTCACCGCGGACAAAATACGAACCTTTTTTTTGACAGATGCAGCACATTGTCGCATGTTTTTGTGCATTGCGCTGCTTGGCTGACGAGTGCAGGGCGGGTAACGGTTTTGCATGCTGTGTGCGCATTCAGGGCAGGTAACGTTTGTGCACGCTGTGCGCGCATTCAGGGCGGGTAACGTTTTTTTCGCACGCTGTATGCGCATTCAGGGCGGGTAACGTTTTCGCACGCTGTATGCGCATTCAGGGCGGGTAACGTTTTCGCACGCTGTATGCGCATTCAGGGCGGGTAACGTTTTCGCACGCTGTATGCGCATTCAGGGTGGGTAACGTTTTTGCATGCTGTGTGCGCATTCAGGGCAGGTAACGTTTTTGCACGCTGTGTGCGCATTAAGAGCGGGTAACGTTTTCGCACACGCTGTATGCGCATTCAGGGCGGGTAACGTTTTCACACGCTGTATGCGCATTCAGGGCGGGTAACGTTTTTGCACACTGTGTGCGCATTAAGAGCGGGTAACATTTTCGCACGCTGTATGCGCATTCAGGGCGGGTAACATTTTCGCACACTGTGTGCGCATTCAGGGCGGGTAACGTTTTTGCACGCTGTGTGCGCATTCAGGGCGGGTAACGTTTTCGCACGCTGTGTGTTCATTCAGGGCGGGTAACGTTTTCGCACGCTGTGTGCGCATTCAGGGCGGGTAACGTTTTTGCACGCTGTGTGTTCATTCAGGGCGGGTAACGTTTTTGCACGCTGTGTGTTCATTCAGGGCGGGTAACGTTTTTGCACGCTGTGTGCGCATTCCCATGCAGGCCGTTACCTTCAAATGGCTGCTTTATGTGCAGGAAATGTGGCAAAGCAGTCCCCGAGGCTTGATTCACCTCCAATCCTCGATTCCCCGCGTATACAGGTGCGTCAGAGAGTGTGCGTTTTCTGCGCATCGCGTGCAGGGCGGCCTATTCACTTCAATGGTCTGCTTTATGTGCGATAATCTTGGAAAAAGAAGTCTAAAAACGCAGCGCACTGGACCGCATGGTACTGGGGCGCCCTGCAGATTGGCACATGCGTTTGTAAATGGATTGCACCGCTGCGCATGGGCTGGTGGACAGTGCGTTTATCTGCATGCCGGGAAAGCGATTTTGCGTACGTTCCTGACACTCATAGGTCTGAACCTAACCTGACTCTTCCAAAAACACAATTCGCCAAAATACGTGGATCTGCGGCCCCAGGAGCTTTGGCGCACACAAAAACACGTGCGTTTGCAGATTATTGGCACCACCACCCATCTGCTAAAGTTCTCTGCCTGAGATTTGTGTGCGTTTCCAATACATGGAGGTCCGAGCCTCACCCTGCCATACCACATGGACACCTGATGTGAATGAGCCCCCCAGGACTCACCAACAGCTGATGCCCCTCATTGGCAGAATTAAAGTGCAACTCCAGTCCATTTCTTCTTTCATTCACCACATCACCCCTCCCCCATATCACAATGTGATCTCCCCCCCCCCATGCTTCATCCATGGTCCAGGGCCAGGGCAGAATGACAGTCATGTGAGCCCAGCCTGGTATTTACACTCCCCTCCTCTGGGGGGCACATTATCATGCAGCTGTACTCAGTCCCGCCCCCTTCACTGCCATTGGAGGAAGAAGAGGAAGCTGCCATGACATCACTGAACCACCTAGAAGGCTGGAAGATAAAGGTTTGTATAGGGATTTAAAAATAGAAACATACTGGGAATGGGGGGGTATTATGTGGAGGTGGGGGAGGGTATTATGTAGAGGTGGGGGGGGTATTATTTGGAGGTGGGAGGTATTATGTGGAGGTGGGGGGGGTATTATGTGTTTAGGTGTGTGGGGGGGTATTATTTGGAGGTGGGAGGGTATTATTGGGAGGTGGGGGGGTATTATGTGGAGGTGTGTGGGGGGGTATTATTTGGAGGTGGGAGGGTATTATTGGGAGGTGGGGGGGGTATTATGTGGAGGTGTGGGGGGTATTATTTGGAGGTGGGAGGGTATTATTGGGAGGTGGGGGGGTATTATGTGGAGGTGTGGGGGGGGTATTATTTGGAGGTGGGAGGGTATTATTGGGAGGTGGGCGGTATTATGTGGAGGTGTGGGGGGGTATTATTTGGAGGTGGGAGGGTATTATTGGGAGGTGGGGGGGTATTATGTGGAGGTGTGGGGGGGGGGTATTATTTGGAGGTGGGAGGGTATTATTGGGAGGTGGGGGGGTATTATGTGGAGGTGGGGGGGTAAATGCTGGAGTTCTGCTTTAAAGGGTCAGCCCACTGAGAACAGATATTGTAGATTTTGGTGGAGAAGTGACCCCGCCAACACCTTCTGCCCAGTGATGGGGTCGCTGTGATGAGGTCGCGGGGATGGGGTTCCCGGGGATGGGGTCACAGAGATGGGGTCGCGGGGATGGGGTCACGGAGATGGGGTCCCAGGGATGGGGTCGCGGGGATGGGGTCCCAGGGATGGGGTCGTGGGGATGGGGTCCTGGGGATGGGGTCCCGGTGATGGGGTCGCGGGGATGGGGTCCCAGTGATGGGGTCCCGGGGATGGGGTCGTGGTAATGGGGTCCCGGGGATGGGGTCGCGGGGATGGGGTCCCGGTGATGGGGTGCGGGGATGGGGTCGCGGGGATGGGGTTCCGGTGATGGGGTCGCGGTGATGGGGTCGCGGTGATGGGGTCCCGGGGATGGGGTCCCAGGGATGGGGTCGCGGTGAGCACTAGGAGGACTTTCCTTTCCTCAGCCGGATCTTTATTTATTATATAGTATGGGACATATAGGGGGAGGGGCCAGGACACACAAAGGTGGGCGGGGACACACAAACCCTCCAGGGTGTCAGACGTTTCCTGAACATATATGGGGCGTCGGTCTCCACCAGGCTCCACCCATAACAAAGAATTTCCAAACCTTTTTTTTATTTGGCTTCTGGTAGAGATTCCCATTCTTGTCAATCTTGGTGGACACCAACCACACAGGGGCCCCCATCCCTTCACAGGGGCCCCCATCCCTTCACATCCAATTCTCCATCAATCACTGAAGTATCAGTTCTGGGTGGGGTGACCCTCTCATTCTTCCTACTTCTGTTCATTAGATCTCCCCGAGGAGTTTGGCTCCATCATGACTGGCCGGGTTGGGAGATAATTGCATGAAGAACGACAGAATTCCCGCAGGAGGATATTTGTAGCGTCTTCCCTAAGAAGAGTCAATTCTCTGCAGAGTAACAGAAGCCGCTCAGATGACAGAGGATCCTCCCACCATCCAATCCATGAGCAGACACCCATTGTGTCCCCAAACCGACACCCCAACCTACGGAGATCATGGACATTTCTTCTGTCATGAACAGAGATCGATCTCCGACTCGGAGGGCTTGTAGAATACGCAGCCGGACAAAGAAGACATTGAAAGCGTCCAACTTGTGGTCCATCTCTGTCCATCCCCTTGTCCCTGGAACCACATGAGGACCAGCATGGTGCACCCCTTCCTGTCCAGGACCTCTATGGTATGATTATGTAAGAGGTTGGACGACTGTGTGCCCATGGAGGTGCAAAAGTGAAGGCTAGCCGACTCAGCCTCCCCGACATCTCCAAAATACGACCCTTCCAAATGAATGACACCTCAAAGCTTCGACTTTACTCCCTGGTCATCTCTCACCTCAACTATTGCAACTCCCTCCTCATTGGCTTACCTTTACATAGGCCACACCCCCTCCAGTCCATCATGAATTCTCCTGCCGATCTCGTCCACCTTACCAACCGTTCAGTGTCCTCCACCCCTTTCCACCAATCCCTCCACTGGCCTCCATTCAGTGTCCTCCACCCCTTTCCACCAATCCCTCCACTGGCCTCCATTCAGTGTCCTCCACCCCTTTCCACCAATCCCTCCACTGGCCTCCACTCAGTGTCCTCCACCCCTCTCCACCAATCCCTCCACTGGCCTCCATTCAGTGTCCTCCACCCCTCTCTGCCAATCCCTCCACTGGCCTCCATTCAGTGTCCTCCACCCCTTTCCACCAATCCCTCCACTGGCCTCCACTCAGTGTCCTCCACCCCTCTCCACCAATCCCTCCACTGGCCTCCATTCAGTGTCCTCCACCCCTCTCTGCCAATCCCTCCACTGGCATTCATTCAGTGTCCTCCACCCCTCTCTGCCAATCCCTCCACTGGCCTCCACTCAGTGTCCTCCACCCCTCTCTGCCAATCCCTCCACTGGCCTCCACTCAGTGTCCTCCACCCCTCTCTGCCAATCCCTCCACTGGCATTCATTCAGTGTCCTCCACCCCTCTCTGCCAATCCCTTCACTGGCATTCATTCAGTGTCCTCCACCCCTCTCTGCCAATCCCTCCACTGGCCTCCATTCAGTGTCCTCCACCCTTCTCCACCAATTTCTCTACTGGCCTCCATTTAGTGTCCTCCACCCCTGTCTGCCAATCCTTCCACTGGAATCCAATCAGTGTTCTCCACCCCTCTCTGCCATTCCCTTTACTGACCTCCATTCAGTGTCCTCCACCCTTCTCTGCCAATCCTTCCACTGGCCTCCATTCAGTATCCTCAACCCCTCTCTGCCAATCCTTCCACTGGCCTCCATTCAGTGTCCTCCACCCCTCTCTGCCAATCCCTCCACTGGCCTCCACTCAGTGTCCTCCACCCTTCTCTGCCAATCCCTCCACTGGCCTCCATTCAGTGTCCTCCACCCCTCTCTGCCAATCCCTCCACTGGCCTCCATTCAGTGTCCTCCACCCCTCTCTGCCAATCCTTCCACTGGCCTTAATTCAGCCCGTATTTCTGTTCCATAAGGGGGGGGGGCCATTTGCACCTAAGCTTGTGTCGTCTAGTCCATGGGTGTGATGCCCGGCTGTACTACCTCGGCCCCGGGTCCCAGCGGTGAGGAGGCAGTTCTCTGATGGAAACACCCAGGCGGGGTGCCAGGTGACCCGTCACAGGTAATGTATATGTAGAGGTAGTGGGGGGAGGTAATAACTGCTGGTCCTCTGTTGGGTATCAGCATAAGGAGAAGATAAGCTGTAAATCCCATAAAATGCCCCCCCATGCAGATAATACTCACATCACGTGACGGGTACTATGCAGCCCCAGCGGTCTATAGACAGGCGGGGAGGTTTTTCAGGGGGAACTCGGGGGAACCTCCAGCACTGGATGTATATAACGGCAAGGGCTGCTGGGGTGTGCTGGAGGGTCTATTGAGGATTGCTGCTAGGGGATCTAATGTAGTTGGAGGGGATCTGTTTTTGAGTGGGGGCTATTGTTGCTGGTGGGGGCTGTGTTGTTGCTAGAGAGGGGTCTTATCTTTCTGGGGGGTAATTTGTTGCTGGGGGGTATCTACTGTTGAAGAAGGGGGTCTAATATTGCTGGCTGCAAGAGAATTTAGAGATTTTATGTTGCTGCCAGGAGTCTATTGTTGCTGGGGATCTATTTTTGCTGGGCATCTATTTTTGCTGGGGGTCTATTGTTGCCGGGGGGTCTATTGTTGCCGGGGGTCTATTATTGCTGAGGGATCTATTGTTGCCGGGGGTCTATTGTTGCTCGGGGATCTATTGTTGCTGGGGGGATCTATTGTTGCTGGGGGTCTATTGTTGCTGGCTGCAGAGGAACTATTTTAATGCTTTGGCTTTAGCAAATTACAACAATATGATACTTGGCTCTGTATTCTCTAAAAGGAGAAGTGCTCGGAGGTGGGTAGGAGGGCGGAGACAAGGGATGATGCTCGGAGGTGGGTAGGAGGGCGGAGACAAGGGATGATGCTCGGAGGTGGGTAGGAGGTTGAACCAAGGGATGATGCTCAGAGGTGGGTAGGAGGTGGAACCAAGGAATGATGCTCGGAGGTGGGTAGGAGGTGGAACCAAGGGATGATGCTCAGAGGTAGGTAGGAGGTGGAACCAAGGGATGATGCTCAGAGGTAGGTAGGAGGTGGAACCAAGGGATGATGCTCAGAGGTAGGTAGGAGGTGGAACCAAGGGATGATGCTCAGAGGTAGGTAGGAGGTGGAACCAAGGGATGATGCTCTGAGGTGGGTAGGAGAAGGAACCAAGGGATGATGCTCGGAGGTGGGTAAGAGGCGGAACCAAGGGATGATGCTCGGAGGTGGGTAGGAGGTGGAACCAAGGGATGATGCTTGGAGGGTAGGAGGTTGAACCAAGGGATGATGCTCGGAGGTGGGTAGGAGGTGGAACCAAGGGATGATGCTCGGAGGTGGGTAGGAGGTGGAACCAAGGGATGATGCTCGGAGGTGGGTAGGAGGCGGAACCAAGGGATGATGCTCGGAGGTGGGTAGGACGTGGAACCAAGGGATGATGCACGGAAGTGGGTAGGAGGCGGAACCAAGGGATGATGCTCGGAGGTGGGTAGGAGCTGGAACCAAGGGATGATGCATGGAGGTGGGTAGGAGGTGGAACCAAGGGATGATGTTCGGAGGTGGGTAGGAGGTGGAACCAAGGGATGATGCTTGGAGGTGGGTAGGAGGTGGAACCAAGGGATGATGCTCGGAGGGTAGGAGGTTGAACCAAGGGATGATGCTCGGAGGTGGGTAGGAGGTGGAACCAAGGGATGATGCTCGGAGGTGGGTAGGAGGTGGAACCAAGGGATGATGCTCGGAGGTGGGTAGGAGGCGGAACCAAGGGATGATGCTCGGAGGTGGGTAGGACGTGGAACCAAGGGATGATGCACGGAAGTGGGTAGGAGGCGGAACCAAGGGATGATGCTCGGAGGTGGGTAGGAGCTGGAACCAAGGGATGATGCATGGAGGTGGGTAGGAGGTGGAACCAAGGGATGATGTTCGGAGGTGGGTAGGAGGTGGAACCAAGGGATGATGCTTGGAGGTGGGTAGGAGGTAGAACCAAGGGATGATGCTCGGAGGTGGGTAGGAGGTGGAAACAAAGGATGATGCTCGAAGGTGGGTAGGAGGTGGAACCAAGGGATGATGCTCGGAGGTGAGGAGGTGGAACCAAGGGATGATGCTCGGAGGTGGGTGGGACATGGAACCAAGGGATGATGCTCAGAGGTGGGTAGGAGGTGGAACCAAGGGATGATGCTCGGAGGTGGGTAGGAGGTGGAACCAAGGGATGATGCTCGGAGGTGAGTAGGGGGCGGAGACAAGGGATGATGCTTGGAGGTGGGTAGGAGGTGGAACCAAGGGATGATGCTCGGAGGTGAGGAGGTGGAACCAAGGGATGATGCTCGGAGGTGGGTAGGAGGTGGAACCAAGGGATGATGCTCGGAGGTGGGTAGGAGGTGGAACCAAGGGATGATGCTCAGAGGTGGGTAGGAGTTTGAACCAAGGGATGATGCTCAGAGGTGGGTAGGAGTTTGAACCAAGGGATGATGCTCAGAGGTGGGTAGGAGGTGGAACCAAGGGATCATGCTCGGAGGTGGGTAGGAGGCGGAACCAAGGGATGATGCTCGGAGGTGGGTAGGAGTTGGAACCAAGGGAAGATGCTCAGAGGTGGGTAGGGGGGGACAAGGGATGATGCTCGGAGGTGGATTGGAGGTGGAACCAAGGGATGCTCAGAGGTGGGTTGGAGGTGGAACCAATGGATGATGCTCAGAGGTGGGTAGGGGGCAGAGACAAGGGATGATGCTCAGAGGTGGGTAGGAGATGGAACCAAGGGATGATGCTCGGAGGTGGGTAGGAGGTGGAACCAAGGGATGATGCTCGGAGGTGGGTAGGAGGTGGAACCAAGGGATGATGCTCGGAGGTGGGTTGGAGGTTAAACCAAAGGATGATGCTCAGAGGTGGGTAGGAGGTGGAACCAAGGGATGATGCGTGGAGGTGGGTAGGAGGTGGAACCAATGGACGATGCTCGGAGGTGGGTAGAAGGTTGAACCAAGGGATGATGCTCAGAGGTGGGTAGGAGGTTTAACCAAAGGGATGATGCTCAGAGGTGGGTAGGAGCTTTAACCAAGGGATGATGCTCAGAGGTGGGTAGGGGTGGAACCAAGGGATGATGCTCGGAGGTGGGTTGGAGGTAGAATCAAGGGACAATGCTCAGAGGTGGGTAGGAGGTTGAACCAAGGGATGATGCTCGGAGGAGGGTTGGGGATGGAACCAAGGGGGATGATGCTCAGAGGTGGGTAGGACATGGAACCAAGGGATGATGCTCGGAGGTGGGTAGGAGGTGGATCCAAGGGATGATGCTCGGGAGGTGGGTAGGACATGGAACCAAGGGATGATGCTCAGAGGTGGGTAGGGGATGGAACCAAGGGATGATGCTTGGAGGAGGGTAGGGGGCGGAGACAAGGGTTGATGCTCGGAGGTGGCTAGGGGGCGGAAACAAGGATGATGCTTGGAGGTGGGTAGGAGGTGGATCCAAGGGATGATGCTCGGAAGTGGGTAGGAGGTGGAACCAAGGGATGATGCTCGGAGGTGGGTAGGAGGTGGAACCAAGGGATGATGCTCTGAGGTGGGTAGGAGGTGGAACCAAGGGATGATGCTCGGAGGTGGGTAGGAGGTGGAACCAAGGGATGATGCTCGGAGGTGGGTAGGAGGTGGAACCAAGGGATGATGCTCGGAGGTGGGTAGGAGGTGGAACCAAGGGATGATGCTCGGAGGTGGGTAGGAGGTGGAACCAAGGGATGATGCTCAGAGGTGGGTAGGAGTTTGAACCAAGGGATGATGCTCAGAGGTGGGTAGGAGTTTGAACCAAGGGATGATGCTCGGAGGTGGGTAGGAGGTGGAACCAAGGGATCATGCTCGGAGGTGGGTAGGAGGCGGAACCAAGGGATGATGCTCGGAGGTGGGTAGGAGTTGGAACCAAGGGAAGATGCTCAGAGGTGGGTAGGGGGGGACAAGGGATGATGCTCGGAGGTGGATTGGAGGTGGAACCAAGGGATGCTCAGAGGTGGGTTGGAGGTGGAACCAATGGATAATGCTCAGAGGTGGGTAGGGGGCGGAGACAAGGGATGATGCTCAGAGGTGGGTAGGAGATGGAACCAAGGGATGATGCGTGGAGGTGGGTAGGAGGTGGAACCAATGGACGATGCTCGGAGGTGGGTAGAAGGTTGAACCAAGGGATGATGCTCAGAGGTGGGTAGGAGGTTTAACCAAGGGATGATGCTCAGAGGTGGGTAGGAGCTTTAACCAAGGGATGATGCTCGGAGGTG